GGTCGAGCGGCTCTCTGGCGAGCATGCTGGCCTTGTGGTGGGTGTCGGGGTCCACCAGGCGTCGACGGTGCTGCTGGCGGCAGGAGCTCTTCGGGGGGGCAGCTCCCAGTGATCGGGGGGCACGTTTAAGCAGGCACGAGCGCACGGGCTTCGATGGCGTGACCGACGTCTTCGCCTGTTCGTTTTTCGAGGTGGCTTTCATCACGGTGGCCTTCCTCAGCCTGTTCTCGGTCCTTTCGGTCCACTACTGAGGACGGCGCAATTGCGCGTTTTCTTTTTCAAACCTCTGGCCAGTACGCGCGCGGCTGGTCTTTGTCAGGTCAAACTGGGGAGCTCGAAGATTACTTCGTCTTTATATCTGGAGCCTGTGGGCATCCCGCCCACTCTTGCCCTAGGCCTGCTTTGGAGGCCGATGACGGTCCGTTCCTCACTTGGCAGGCTCCTCCTTATTCGGCCGCTGATGGAGGGCCCATCACCAATCGCGTTTGGGGCCTGCTTTCTGTTGATGGTTCTTGTGCTCGGCACCCCGTTCGGGAGCTTTCTCGCGCTGCGAGCTTTGTCTGCATGGTCGATGCTGATGGGGCCCTCGCGGCCGAATTCAGAGCTCCCGTCTGGGGCCCCTGCCCTCAGACCCCCCCGAGCGCGGAGTTTAGCGCCTTCACTTGGGCCAGCGCTTTAGCCACTCATCCTGATGAATGCCAAGTATATTCTGATTGCTTGAATGTTGTTAGGCTCGCGGCTCGTTCTAAGCCTGAGCAATTAGTTGGCAAAAAGATGTACTCTGGAGCCTTCCTTCAGTGCCATAGCCAGTTTTCGTCGGTCTCGGGCTGCACTAAGGTTGATGCTCACCAGGACATCGATGATCCTACGATCGATACCGACGAGCGATGGCGCCGTACAGGTGACAATTTCGCTGATGTTGGAGCCAAGATGGCTCTGCGCATCCATCCCTCCAATGCTGGTCTGCTCAAGGATGCCGACGATCTGGTTCGTTCTGCGAAGGCCACCTTGAAAGTCGCCAGTGCTGTCCTCCATCTTTGGCCCTCGGTCGATCTCTCCTGTGTTGAGCGCGTGAAGCCCCATCCCTCTCCTGCCGGTGCCTCTGCGGGTCATGGCTGGGAGCGCTGGGCGGGGATTTGGAGGTGCGGGTTTTGTTTCACAGGCAGTAGATCTCTGGTTCCCCCTACCAGTGGTAGATGCCCTCGTGACAGTAAGTTGCACGCGTCTCATCAAGACCGTTTGGGCCGTAAGACGTTGGCTTTCGAATGTTCGGGCCACTCCGTGTTATTTATCTGCATGAGGTGCAAGTGCCATTCGTCTGGGGGCCAAGTCAGAGGCCTGGCTAGTAAATGTGCTCCGACTCGTGCTGGCAGGCCTGGGTGTGCGCAGCTCTGCCGTGGCAGGCGCCCCCACTACTCTCGGCGCAAGCGCGGCGTCTCGGTTGATCTTGATTCTTTTGTCGAGTGTTTCAACAGGCCTGATTTCAATGCTGATGAGCTTGGATTTCAGGCCGCTCAGGATCTCCCTGGTCCTGCGGCCCTTCCTCAACCTCCTTCCTCCCCTGGGTGCAGCGGGGGGTGGAGCTGGGGCGGGGCGGGAGGGGGTCTTCTAAACTGAGGTCCTTTGAGCTTCAGCCTGATCAGGCTGGGCCCAGGGATTATGACTTCGAAGTTGAGGAAGAAGCTTCTTACTTCCTCTTTGGCGCGGCCCAAGGTGCTGCCTCAGCCACGCAGTTGAGCCTGGACAGGCGGCCTGCTCTGGCGCTGCCGCTGCCCTCGCGCCTGGCGCGTTGCCCAGGCCCCCCCCGCAGCTGAGCGTGGAGCCTTCCCCTCCCATTCCTGCTTCGGGGGCGGAAGTGGAAGGCAGAGCACTTGGTGGAGTGCCGTCTTTGTTGCAGCGGAGCGCGATGGTCACCCCGTCTGCGCCCCCGTCGGGGATAGGCGTGGTGGGCGTTGCGCTCGCCAGCGATGTTTTCGATCTTGACTAGCAGCTCGGATGCTCCTGCTCGTCGGTTTTCTGCGCCCGCCCACTCTCTAGGAGAGATGCCGTGCCAGGCCCGTTTCAAGCTCGAGCGGCAGGAGGGCGTTGCTCCTCCCTTGGCCCCACGAGCCTGCGATTTTGATGGAGGCGACTCAGACTGAATGGGTCGCAATTCGGGGAGCCAGCATCCCCCTCCGCTGCTGGCTCGCTACCCTGGTCAGTCCAAGGATTTGGAGGCGTTGGCGTGTGTGTCAAAAAAATCAGGTTCTGAACTTCGAGAAGCTGAGCCGTAGCTGGGGCCCCTGGGCCCTGGCATGTAGCTGCTTCCACGGCGCGGGCAGCTTTTTGTCCCACACGCGTGCGTGCGTCTTCGTCTTCGGCGCGCCAGTGCTCCGCGCGCGCCCGTCTGCTCTGGCACAGCCAGCGCGAGATCTCGTCGCCATGATCGTCATCGCCGTCGTCGCCGAGCATCCTCGACCCAGAAAATTGTTTATTGTAATGGCCTCCGGCCAGTGCCGCCGATCCGGGGGGCTCTGGGTTCGGTGATCTTCGCGGCTCTGTGGCCTCCTCCCTCCTCGATTCTTCCGGTCCTCTTTCTTCTCCCTTTGGGGGGGTGCCTGGAGCCTGGAGCGGTCCCAGGGGGGGGGGTCCGGGGAGGGTTCCGCGGGGAGGGTCCCGGGGGCTGTAGCGGCTAGATCTGAGGGGGGTCCACTGGGACCCTTCGAAACGAGAGAATAACACGGTCGCCCACCCTCTGCAGAAGCTCTCCCCGGTCTGGTAGGGATGTCCACCCACGCGGCCCCATTGGGGTCGTCCCTACGGCGGCGCCGTGCCATGTCGCACGTGTGGCGCCACCAGATGACATACCCTTCGCACATTTCGTGGCCCCACGGGGAGCCCCACCGAAGACACCAATGGCGAAGTCTGGATGACAACACCGCCTGATTTCGGCGCACCCTTCACACGTTTCGTGACCCCACGAGGAGCTCCACCAACGGCCCAAATGGCAGGGTCCGCGTGGCGGCGCCGCTTTATTTTTGCAGACTCCTCACAGGATTCGTGGCCTCATGAGCTCCCATGATGCACGAAGTGCGTGCGAGGTGTGCCGAATCGAAGCTCCATTAAAACCATACAAAGCGTCAGTTGAGGGCCCCTGGGGGTTCATGAAGCACGGAATTCGTGAAAAGTGTGCCGAATTGAGGTTCCCTGTGTTGGTCTTACGGGCCAGCGGAGCGCCCGTGGAGGTCCATGGGGCACAAGATGTGTAAGGGGTGTGCCAACTTGAGGCCCCAACAGGCCGTCCTTGGTTGGGGTCAGGCGAGCTCCCATGGTGCACATGTGCGTGAGGGGTGTGCTGAATTGAGGCCACTCGGAGAAATTAGTATGCGAACGCCGCATGTTTTACTTGTCCCAGAAGCCTGCACGTTCAGGGAATGCGTGAGGGTTGTGCCGAAACGGGGCCTCGTGGCCCTGGGAGCACACTACTAGCATCTTTCACGTCCCAGGAGAATCCAGGGAACTCTGCCTCATCGGGCTGGCTGAGTGCGCGAAGCCGCTCCCAGCATGCATTCACGCATGCACGTCGCTCTCCCCAATCATCCTCCTCTTCCGACTCAGCTCTCGCAACGGAACTCGGCCGGAGCACGCATGGGGCCCGCCAAACTCATCCGCTTCGCGCACTCCGCTGGCCCGCGAAGCATCGCCACTGCCATCCGCTTGTGTGCTCGTGGCGATTGGCCAACTTCTTGGGGATGTTGGTTTCCCAAACCAGTCGTCTGAAGCTCGCGCTGGGGCGAAGCAGCCGCCGGGTAGATTGAGGGTAACACCGAAGCTTAGCATGCTCCCGCCCAAGTTTCACCAACGAGGCCAGGAAGCACGAGAACATGAGAACTATGGAAAGCCTGTGAACATGTATGTTCCGCTGAGCCCCTTCGTTGGCCAAGTGGGCACATGGGAGGCCTTCTGGGAGTCTTTGGGGGCTCTCTGACTGGCGGGGGCTTCCCTCCCAGGAGTTTCCTTGGGCCTGCTGGGGGCTGTCTTGGGCACTCTTGGGGCACTGGGGCTACGGCAGGTTCGCGTCGTGTCGACCTGCGGCGACCCCAGCGCGGGCGTTCAAGGTCGAACGCCGCCGGCGACCCCCAATCGGTCGATGCTGAACAATCGGACGCTCGGTGAACTGCCGATCGTTCAAGGTTGAACGCTTCCCGCGGTGTCAGAAACCAGCGCTGGGGACGCACCCGCCGTGTCTAGTACCTGTTGAGTTTGATTTGTTTTTGAACTTCCCCGGCGAACTCTGGGCGATTTTTTGAAGTTTGGACAAATCCATAGCTTCAACCCTTTACCACAAGATACACATTACAAATCCAGGTGCTGTTCTGGAGCCGTCTTAGGGCCTGCAGCCCATGGATCTTCGCTCCGTAGGCACCACGGGCCCCTCCTGGATCGCTCCCGGGACGCTGCTGTCCTCGTCCTCCTCCTCCTCCTCCTTCTCCTCCTCCTCCTCCTCCTCCTCCTCCCCTTCCTCCTCCTCCCCTTCCTCCACCTCATCCTCCTCCTCTTCGTCCTTTCCCTGCTCCTCCTCCTCCTCCTCCTCCTCCTCCTCCTCCTCGTCGTCCTCCTCCTCCTCCCCTTCTCCTCCTCCTCCTCCTCTCCTCCTCCTCCTCCTCCTCCTGGTCCTCCTCCTCCTCCTCCTCCTCCTCCACCTCCTCCTCCTCCTCCTTCTCCTCCTCCTCCTCCGAGGAGGAGGAGGAGGGTGATCTTCGGGGCCTTCGGAGCTCTCTCTTGGAGCCTCTTCTGGGTCTCCCCCTCGAGCTGTACTGGGCGATCCCAGAGCCACCTTGAGGCCGCAGAAGCCCATCGGCAGCGTAACGGCGAGAAAGCCAAACAGCAATATAGACAGCCATATTATTTTTCAAGTATGTTCGTCTCCTGGGGCCATCTCTGCCATTTCTGGCTTGGCCCGGCGGTATTGGGTCCTCTTATATAGGGCTGTTTTGGAGCCATCTTGGTGCGCTGCGCAGCCATTTCGTCTCAAGCTGGTGTACCCGTTCCAGTTGTCCTGTTTCCGAGCCTCTGTGCGCTCCCAGGCACCCGGTGCAGACCAGATGGTCAAGAAGGGTGCCAACAAGAAGCCCCCTGACGTGCAGTCCCCTGCCTCCACGGCAGTTCCTTCGCCGGCATCTTCGGACAGTTGGCTGGACACTCTCAACTCCGAGGACCGACGGCTCGCCATCTCCATGGGCGCCAGGTCCCAGAAGGAGCTCGAGGACAAGAAGGCGAAGATGGAGGCTGACGCGAAGAAGGCGAGCGAGCAGCAGTGGCAACAGATCAAGCAGAACGAGAGGAATAAGCAGTGGGAGAAGGACATGCAGAAGCAGGCGAAACAGAAAGCTGCAGACGAAAATAAGTGGACAAAGCAGGCCGAGAAGGTGCTGCAGCGAGGGCTAAAGGAGGGCATCGTGGAGGCCGAGGACTGGGGCGATGGCAAGTGGTGGTGCCCGATCACAGACGGCGAGAAGTCCGTGATGTACAAGGAGGTCAACGAGGTGTACTACTGCACGCTGTGCGATGCACACCTCAACGACAACAGCCTGGAGCTCCACCTGAACGGCAAGAACCACCAGAAGAAGCTGTCGTGGAGCCAGAGCGACGCCGCCGGCGCCTCGCAGCCAGCGCTCGCCGCGGCCCCGCCGGCGGCGCCCGGGCCTGCCCCGCCGCGCGGCGGCGCCGCGCCGGCCGCCGCCGAGAAGTACCCGCCGCCGGAGCTGCCCTACCAGGCGTGGGTGGACGGCCCGCCAGACACGGCGCCGCCGGGCGAGAGGTCCAGGGACTCAATCAGGAGCCTTAAGACGGGGGTCAGTGCAAACGGAGGTCAGCCAGAGCGCCCGATCTTTCGGGATCCTGCAGGGCAAGGGGTGCATTGACCCGGGTTTGGGTGCAGGATCCTGCTGGATCTTGTAGGATCCTTCGCATTGACCCGGGCTTGGGCGCAGGATTTTGCAGGATCTTGCAGGATTCTGCAAGGGCCGACTGACCCGGGTCTGAATTAACCCGGGTCAGAAGATCCCCGACTCAAGGGAAGGTTCCCTGAGATCCGACGTTGCCAAAAAATTGCAACATCGAAAAACAAATCACGCCCGGACCCCCGGACCCCATCTTTCTGCCTAGTAAATCTTTCGAGCCGGATCGATCTGTGAGGGTCCTGGGCCCGAAGCCGAGCGAAAGCGCCCGTTGCAAACAGAATCGCCACGCCAGGATCTCAGGGCCAGGGGAAGGTTTGAGGTTCTGTTGAGGTTTTCGGACGTCTTCGTCGTTGGTTCTCGGCGGTTTCCCAGCATCGATGAATGCCTCCCAGCGGCTGCGCCTCGTCGAGAGCGTCGGCTAGCGTCGGCTAGCGTTGGCTTAGCGTCGATTTAGCATCGATTAGCGTCGACTAGCGTCGATTCGCAAGAGCCGACAAGGTGTAATGGGAAGCTCCCATGGGCTCCCACCGAAAAATCCATCTGGTCCGCCGCTCACATGGGTGCTGACTCGAACGCTGAATTAATTTTGGAGGTCTGGGGTGAGGGGGAGGGGGGGGAGGAGGGGGAGGCTGAGGATGGAAGGAGGAGCCAGGAAGAAGAGACGGGAGGAGGAGGGGAAGGAGGAGGACCAGCGGATCTAATTTTGCCTACAGCCAACGCGCCTAGCAAAGCAACGCGTCTTCATCTGGGGCACCCTTGTGTCCTTTGCCGCTTTCACTAGTCGCCCGCCGACCGGTTTTCGGTGGCGAGGACCCCCTGCTGGAAGCCCCCCCCCCCCCTTCCTTTTTTCTCCACCCCTCGGAATGTAGCCCCCCCTCCTCCCTCCCCTTTCGCGCTCTGGAATCCGCCCCCCCCCCCCCTTTTCCAAAAGGGGGGCGGGGGCTCAGCTACCCCCCTCCTCCCCTTTGAACCTCCCCTGCCGGGAGGCCTCCCAGCGGCTGCGCTTCGTCAAAACGAGCGTTCTCCCAGGGGGGGGTGCTCTTGGATCGTCCCCGCACGGCCGCCGGAGCCGCCAGGGCTGCATCAGCAGGGGGAACAACACACAGACACAATGGATCGTCGACCCCCGGGGAAAGTATGGGAAAATATGGGAAACTATCTCTCCTCTTCCTCCTCCTCCTCCTCCTCCTCCTCCCTCCCCTCCCTCCCTCCTCCTCCTCCTCCTCTCCTCCTCCCATTTTCTCCTCCCATTTTCTCCTTCTCCTTCTTCCTCTCCTCCCCTTCTCCTACTCCTCCTCCCCCTCCTCCTCCTCCTCCTCCTCCTTTCCCTCCTCCTCCCTCCTCCCCTCCTCCTCCTCCTCCTCCTCTCCTCCTCCTCCTCCTCCTCCTCCTCCCTCCTCCTCCTCCTCCTCCTCCTCCTCCTCCTCCTCCTCCTCCTCCTCATCTCCTCCTCCTCCGCCTCCCCAACTCCTGGCGGCACTTTCTGTTGATCTCGGCGGCGGGAGAGTTCCCTCCGTCACCCAGGGCGCCTGGCTCAGGGGTAGTCGCTCGCAGGCGTGCCTGGGGGGGACGTCGAGAGCTCCGAAAACTCGGGAAGGTGTGGGGAATCCCAGGGTTTGCGTGCGCGCATTTGTGTGTCCCTGGGCCATGGGGGCCCGAAAGCCATTGGGGACGGGGGCAGGCATGGGGGGCAACGCGTCGGGCCCCCCAGGCGTCAACTGACCGCCGAGAGGGGCCCGATGGCCCATCCCGCCCAGGACTGCTGTGCGCTCTGGCCGTGGGAGCTCACATACCGGCGCTTCCGAACAAAACCGCCCAAGCACAACGCCCAGAAGAAGGCGCAGGAGCGCCCTCCGCGCCCCCGATTCCAATGCTCATCTGAGGGAGCGCCCGCCGCGGTTTGCAAACGTGGGCGTTTTTTGTTCGAAACGACTCGCGCCCTTCCGCGTCGACCGCCCCGAACTCTGAAATTGGGGCTGGGGGGCTGGACCCGCTTCAACGCTCATTCGAGATGGACATTTTTTGTCGAAAACCACGGTATCGCCAGTCGATCGGCGCTGCGCCGCCAGACTCCATCCCGGCGTTCCCTCCCCCGAGCTGGTGTTCTCCCCCTGGAGCTGGTTCCCCCCTCTCGTTTCCCCTCCCACGTCGCCGCTGCAGAAGTTCGCCGCGTGTTGTATGGGAGCGCCCAGGAAAGCGCAGATTATCGTCCGCTGCTTCCGCCAATAGAAGCGGGCGGGCGGAGGCTGACCCCAGTCCCGGCCGCGCCAGGCTGTCGCCGCGTTCCCCCCGAGAAACCTAGCGGGCTGGGTCAAGAGAGCGGTCGGATCAGAGATCTGGGAGTCCTAAGTCTGGGACTTCATGCATCCTCTTATAGAATGGTAAATCTGTTAATATTTGGAACGGGGTCATGAAATAATCCCGGCGTAAAACATACGGTTTTAGACATCACACTGGGTGGAATCTTGCCTGGCCAGCGCAATATTATTGAATATCAAGTCATGACGAAACTTTCGTAACGCCGATGTAGGTGGCTGAAGTGCCTGCTCTGCAACAAGTTTGTCGGGGACGACTGGTCGCACGTCGGGACGTCCGCGGCGCCGGAGGGCTCGAAGGATCACCAGAAGAATTTGCGGAACTACGAGTGGCACGAGGCTCGGCTGCACGCAAGAGTTGCCCTGTGCCGGAGTGGCCTCAGGTCCAGAGGAGGAACATGTACCCATACACCTCTACCCTTCCTTGTCGTTTTCCCCTTTCTGGGCCCTCTCGTCGCCACCGCTGGATTCGCTTCGAAATCCTGGTCATAACGCGCCCCAGGATCTGTCCGGGGAGCAGCGGTAGCAGTACCTGCTGGTTTCCTCAGAGCCAGCGGGCCCAGCCGTGGCAACGAGGAGGCCCCGGGGAGGGCAGGCGCGAGGCTCTGAGCAGCGCTTGCGCTCGCGGGTGCCTTCTTTTCTGCGGAGCTCGGCGCCACGCGTGTCGGTACCTTTTGGCTTCCCCGTGGGGTTTGGGTGCCCACCCCGGGGCCCCGCGGTCGCCGAGCGCGGTGCGGCGGCGGCGGCGGCCGGCCGGCGCGCCCGCGTTTTGGCCCCCCCCCCCCCCCCCCTTGTCGCCCCCAGCGCCCCCCCCCCCCGGAAGCCGCGCACCAGAAGCCACTCCTCTTGCCCGGGGCCAACCCTCCAGGCCTCCTGGACGGGGTCGGGGAGGATGGGGTCGGAGGATCGCGCCGCATCGCTGATGCATCGGCGATGCGGCTCGATGCGGAGCCCCACTCTCTCCAAGCCGACGTCGCCGATGCGTCGCCGACGTCGGCGATGCGTGGCCGATGCATCTCCAATGCATCGGCGATGCACTGGCGATGCGGCGCGGTCCTCCGACCCCACCTACTCGGACCCCTCCTGGGAGGCCTCTGAACCCTTGCCTGCAGCCAAGAGGAGCGAGTGCGGGAGGAGCGGCTCAAGTACCACCCAGAGGTTGGGTAGCAAATCATGGGAGCCTTCTATACCCTCTCCATTCCGTCTTTAGCGTCGATGGGCGTCGGTTAGCGTCTGGGAGTCGATGAGATAGCGTCGATTTTGCGCCGGCTGGCGCCGACTTAGCGTCGATTGGCGTCGATTCGCAAGAGCCGACCAGATGGTATGGGAGGCTCCCATGCCTTGCCACCGCCCAGAGGCAAAGTGCCGCCCCGCAGCGTCGGCCGCGGCGGCGCCCCGGCAGCCAGCAGCGGCCCCGCCGCCGCCGCCGCCGCCCGGCCCGCCGCCAGCCGCCCCTGGGGCGCGGGCGCCCCCAACACCCGCCCCGTGGGCGGCCCCCCGCCACTTCGAGGACGAGGTGGAGGTGTGACCCTGCTCAGGAGCGACGGCACGGCCGTGGCCTGCGGTTGGAATGATCCAGGCCACCTGGATGGGGTCGGAGCAAATGGGGCCAGAGGATCGCGCCGCATCGCCGATGCATCGCCGATGCGGCTCGATGTTGAGCCCCTACTCTCTCCACGCCGGCGTCGCCGACGCATCGCCGACGTCGCCGATGCGGCGCGATCCTCCGACCCCATCTACTCGGACCCCATCTAGGAGGCCTCCAACGATGAGGCCAGGGGGCGGGCGTCGCCGCCTCGGCCGGGCGCGGGCCTGACCTGCACGAGGGTGGAGAAGGGGAGAAGACACACACAGACACAGACACAGACACAGACACAGACACAGACACAGACACAGACACAGACACAGACACAGACACAGACACAGACACAGACACAGACACAGACACACACACACACACACAAAGACACAGACACAGACACAGACACAGACACAGACACAATTGATCGTCGATCCCCCGGAAAATCTAGGAAAGTCTGGGAAGTGTGGGGGGGAAGACGAAGACCCAGAAAGTATGGGAAAACTGAGAATCCTGGGATGTTTGTCTATTCACTTGTGTGTCCCTGGGCCCCTTCAGACATGTGGTGGGGTGGGGTGGGGCCTGAGCGGCCCCCGGCGCTGCCCTGCACAGCTCATGGCTCCTTGTGACGTGCCTGCAGGTGTCGTAGCTCCAGGGGGTGTGGCGCCCTTTCCCTCTCTCTACTCAAGAAGGAACAGACACACACAGACGCAATGCATCGTGAAGGCACCCTTCGGTCGGTCCTTGCCACTGGTCCTCCAGCTGGACGGATGCCCAGCACGCGCTAGTGCGGCTAGCGTGCGTGGGAGCCCCCGAGAGCGTACAGCTTGGGGGATCGCCCTCGCGTGGCCTGACTCGGCCTGGCAGAGGGCGAGTGGTAAACCCCTCCTCGAAGGGGAAGAGGGGTTTTGCGGAAGAGGAAAGACAGACATCGTTAGACCACCTGCGCCCAGAGGGCTCGTGGGACTCGAAGGCGTGTGGCGCCTTTCTGTGCGGCGCAATATCTCTCCCTCTCTCTCTCTCTCTTTCTCTGTTTCTCTCTTTCTCTATCTCTCTCTCTCTCTCTGTCTGCCTTTCTATTCCTCTGACGCAGCGTTTCGGTCGGCTTCATGCCTAGGACGCGCTAGTGCGGCTAGCGTTCGTGGAGCCCTTGAGAATGTACAGCTCAGGGGATCGTCCTCGCGTGGCCTGACTCATCCTAGCAGAGGGTTGGTGGTGGGGACTGAGGTAGGGCTAACTTCAAGACCCGTGGCGGGCAGTCCAAATTATTTAAAGTCTGAGGGCCCGGGCGCCTGACGCGCAAACATGAGCACTCAAGGTGTGCCGTTGCGTTGATGGTCGCCGCCCTCGCGGATGGTCGCCACATGGAGGTCACCGTAACAGTCATGCTCAGGAGCGATGGCACGGCTGTGGGCCGCGGCCAGAGAGACGACGGCCGAAGCAAGGTTCGCGGCTTTGGTCGCGGGCTTTCTCTTTTCATCTTTCTCTCTCTCTCTCTCTCTCCCTCGCCCTCCCTTCTCTCGCGCAAGGCTGCCGCTGGAGGAGCGGCAGCACGGTCCTTCTCAGGAGTGACGGCAGCGCCGCGGCCTGCGGCCAGAGCGCCCCTCACTGGCGTCGCGCCTTATTCGCGGCCTCGCATCTGGAGGTGAGCCTTCCAGTTTCGACGCCGGCCTTCTGGATGGCACGGTCCTGCTCAGGAGCGACGGTGGTGCCGTGGCCTGCGGCTAGAAAGCCTCACCAACGATGCGCGAGTGGCGAGGGATCACTCGCGCGCTCGGACCACCAAATGCGAGATGCTCAGCGGGCCTGCGCGGTCCCATGACGAGCTCGGTGCGCAGGAGAGAAACAAAAGCATCCGTGGTGCAAAATCGAGAAAACCAGCACCATTGAAATTGAGGTTGTTGTTCAACATGTTTCTGTCTCTTGGGGGCCTCTCGGGAGCTGACTTGGATCATATTGGGCGGGCCATTCGGTGACCTGCCGTCCATTGGCTCAAGTGGCTTACGCCGTTCTGCCCGACCCCCACAAGGAGTGAGTGTTTGAGACGATTGTGGAAGTTATATCTTGGGTCAGGAGCCTCCTGGATGAATCTGAGGTTCTCTTGAGATGCCTCTCTGGGGCCTCCTGGAGAACTCGTGGGGGCATGTGGGAGGCTTTGTGTGACCTCGTGGGGGCATATGGGGGGCCTCTTGGGACCTCTTGGAGGGCCCTCGGGGGCCTCTGGGAGGCTCGAGGGGCCATCCTGGTGGGAAAGACTCGAAATGCTTGCTCGGAGCCCTCTTGGGGCCCTCCAGGGGCTGTCTTGGGCCGTCTTGAGGGGCCCCCGGGGCTGTCTTTGGGCCCTCTTGGGCTGTCTTGGGGCCTTCTTGGAGGCATCATGGGCCGCCTTGGGACGATCTTGGGGGCCATTTGGGCCGTCGTATTCATTGTCAAAACGTAAAATGCGAATGTGCTGAGAACATACGTTTTTCCAAGGGAATGATATGGAGAAGGAGGAGGAGGAGGAGGAAGAGGAGGAGGCGGAGGAGGAGGAGGAGGATGAGGAGCAGGAGGAGGAGGAGGAGGAGGAGGGGGAGGAGGCCCTTCCATGAATGTCGGCGGCGAGCGCTGGGGGGGGGAATGAGAAGGGGCGGGCCTTCTCAGAATGCTTTGAAGCCCCCCGGCCTTCTCAGAAGCTTTGTTCTAAGCCTTCCGCGAAGCCCCGGCCTTCTCAGAAGGCCGGAGGCCTTCGGAGAAGCCCCGCCGCCTTCTGGGAAGGCCTTCTACGTTTCACTTCCCCCCTCGCTTGCTGCCGACTTTCGGCGGTCCGCACGGATTCCTTGGATCGGCGCTGGCGCGCGGAGCGCGCCAGGGGCGGAGCGCGCCAGGGGCGGCACCGGAGGCGCCTCCAGGGAGGGGGCTCCAGCGCCGATCCAAGGAACCCGTGCGGACCTCCGAAAGTTTATGTAAATGAAGTTCCCTCGTCTTCTATGGAAGTTAGGCGTCACGAAGAAGCTAGCATGGTGACGCTACACGAACTGATGCGGAAGGTCAGCCATAGTCAGTCTAGGGGGGAGACTTGTTCACGTCAGGCGTCCTTGCATAGTTTGATTTGATGTTGGCCTGCCGAGTCTTTTCAGGTGCAGGGCAGGGCAGGGCTAGTGGGCAGGGAACTACAAGGAGCTACAAGGTCTTGCAGGCTTCAAGTCGCACATCTCATTACTACTGCCACCATTGCCATTGTTCTCGTTAATGGCTACCGCCATTGTGACTCGTAGGCAACGTTGGCTTACGTGTACATACGTAAGACCATTCAAATCCTCAGTCTTCCCGCGCTCGGCCAATTTATCTGGCATGTCTCTCCCGTCTAAGCTTACATTTGCTTTTGCGGTTTCAGCTTGCCTCGCTAGTCATGCTGCCAGCACGATGAGCTTCACAGTCACAAGTGATCCCGTGAAGTTGCGCTACGGGGAGGTGTATAACCAAATGCAGATTGGCTCTGGGTCGGGTCTTCCTATCCCGCCAGAAGTCGTCGCCCGTTATGCGAAAGGTGACAAGCTAATGGGAATCAGTGGATTTGATCCAGAGATGGTGCGAAAGCACTCGGATGGTAGTGAGACCCGTGTCAAGCTAAGCGACCATTACCTCCACCACTACATCTTATATTTTGGGGAGTCAAAGGCCATGCACAAGCTGATCGATCTTGTTGGGACCAGCGAACATGCTGCGCACAGAATTACAGGATGCCACGGGATGACTGGTGCTGGCGTGCACTCTTTCCATGAACATCTCGCGGCGGAGGGAAGCACATCAAATCACAGTTGGATCGGATTTGGCAGCGCAGCGGGTGCCGAATACAGGCACAACCCGCAACGTTTTGAAGCACCGTACCGCATCGTGTTACACAAGCCAGAAGTGTGGGCTCCCACACTGCACATTATCAATACAAACCTCGGTGATAACACGACAGCCACGGATCATGCTCCAGCAGTCTCACGGTTGCTCGAATGCCCGTGCACTCCGCAGCGCGAAATTGACCCAGTTGCTGGCACTATCGATGGCAAGGCGGCAAACCCACCCATCCACTGCAGCAAGGAATTCGATGCAACTGGCAACCCTTCTTGTCACCTCTCTACATACAGGGGCGGCTGGCGTTGTTGTGAACACGGCATGTTCCTTGTTGATACTGACATTGAATGCAAGACACCGAATTGTGCTGAAAAACGTGTCGACGAGGTCTACATGAAGTTCACGTTCTACTACGAAGATGCAAGCGCGTCCACCAGGGAGATGGAGAGCGCAGCATGCTGCGACGTTACTGGCTCAGGTCAAGGTGACATGAACATTGAGCACGACGTTGTACCGTGTGCTGAGGGCACTCCTCCAGACCAGTGTGTGTTCACTGCAGAGAGCGTCCAACCCCTTGCGTATAGAATCGCCTTCGGCCCATCCCGCTATCGTGCCTGGGTTTTGGGTCAGAGTTCTCAGGGATGCTTCTTCGGGTCTCTTCGGAGCGGTCTCGGGGGCCTCTTGGGAGCCTCTTGGGGGCCTCTTGGGGGACTCTTGTGGCCTCTTGGGGGCTGGGAGCCTCTTGGGACCTCCTGGGGGCCCCTCGGGGCCGAGGGCTCGGAATTTTCATTCGGCTTCCCCATCTGGGCCCCCTCTTGGGGTCGTCGTTGGACCCTCTTCAGCCGCCTTGGGCGCCTCTTGGGCCGTCTTGGGGTCCTCCTGGGCCGTCTTGGGGGCCTCGTGGGCCGTCTTGGAGCGTCGGGAAGCCGAGAAGGCTCCGAAAAAGAGAGAACGCCAAAAGCTTTCATAAACCAAATAGAAATCAAGGATGCCCTCTGGGGAGGCCTCTTGGAGGCATCTTGGGATTTCTTCGAGGCCTCTTGGATCGTCTGGGGGCCATCCTCAGCGTCTTGGAGCGATCCATGGGCGTTTCGGGGCCCTCTTGGGCCGTCTGGAGACCCTCTTGGGGCGCTCTTGGTCCAGCCTGGAGCCCTCTTGGGCGGGGAGCTCAGAAGCCCAGGGGAACCGCGGGAAGTCCCGGTAAAGTTGGCAATTTAAGCTCCGGGTCCCTGAACGAATCCTCAGGAGTGAGGGGTGAAGCTCAGAGGATTAGGCAAAGGGCCTGAGGACACGCCCACTCCGTGCCCAAGGTCACGGTGGCGGATTTTGGCCGCCGTGACTGGTCCAGGCACAAGGGGTCCGACCTCGTGGACTTGGTGTTCGCAGCTCCCCACCTTCACTGGGCCGGCACTTCCCTCGAGCTCTTTGATCACGAGACCAACGAGACGATCTGCGAGGTTCACCGCACGCCTGACAACAGTGGTGGAGTCATGTATGGGGCCGGCGACGAGCCCGGCAACGAGAAGGGCTACATGACAGGCTTGACGCCATGCTCTTGGGGCGGAGGCAAGGTGCGGCGCTTCAGGCGTGATCATAAGATGCGTACCCGTGCAGTGTACAACGCGACGACCTACCACTCAGGAGTGATGAGCTTGTGGTTGATGGAAGTGGCGGCGGTTGCGGGCTCAGGGGGCATCTTTGTCTAGAGGGCGCACTGGCCTTTTCTAATTCTTCCTCGCGACCACGGCAGCCAGCGTACGCCTGACAAGGATTCTCGCCACAGGATACGCGAGCATCGCAAAGCTGAAAGCCCCGCCTTCCTCTCGCCCGCCCTCGCCAACCGTCCCGTGACCCCATCCTCGACGCACTCCCCCTATCCTCTCATCGCTTCTCAGTCTTTCCCCCCTTTCTTCTCCTCTCTGTTTCTGACCCGCCGCGGGCGCGAGAAGAAGTGTCCACGGGACTCCACCCTCAATCCACGTTCCTTCTTCCGCCTTGTCCGCCTCGCTTCTTTCCCCCCCTTCCCTCTCCACCTGGCTTTTTCCTTTGCCCACGTCAGGATGGTGACGACGACGATGATGGTGATGGTGACGGTGATGGTGATGGTGATGGAGATGTTGATGGTGCTGATGATCATGGTGATGGTGATGATGATGATGATGATGATGATGATAATGATGATGATGATGATGATGATGATGATGATGATGATGATGATGATGATGATGCTGATGATGATGATGATGATGATGGTGATGGTCATGGTCATGGTCATGGTGATGGTCTTGATGATGAGGATGATGATGATGATGGTGATTATAATGATCGTGGTGCTGATGCTGATGATGCTGATGATGCTGATTATGCTGCTGCTGCTGCTGATGATGATGATTATGATAGTGATGGTGATGGTGACCACGCTGCCCGTTACCACTCCGGTCCAAGCCTTATGAGTTATCGAGCGGAATGCGCCCACGCGCGGAGTCGTTTGAGTATTTCTACTCCGAGCTACTCCGCGCTGATGCGCTATTGGCGAAGGCAGATTGAGAGAAACTGTCGTCACGGTGATATGTGTGTGTGCGCACGCCCCCCAGGGGCGACGCGCGCGCCGAAGCTCCTCCTCCTCCTCCTCCTCTTCCTCCTCCTTATCCCTCCCTCCCTCCCTCCCTCCCTCCCTCCCTCCTCCTCCTCCTCCTCCTCCTCCGCCTCCTCCTCCTCCTCCTCCTCCTCATCCTTCTCCTCTTCGTCGTCCCTTATTGTCCTTCTGCTGCTGCTGCTCCCTCTCCTCCTTCTGCCCTCCACCTCCCCCCCCAGCCCCCCACTCCTCCCCGCATCCGCCTCCGCCTCCTCCTCTTCCTCGGCGCTTGGCGCTGCTGGCACTGGAATCCTGTCGGATGCTGCCGCACCACCTCCTCCTCCTCCTCCTCCTCCTCCTCCTCTCCTCCTCCTGCTCCCTCCTCCCCCTCACCTTCCCCCTCTCCCGCTCATCCCCCCCCCTCCCCCCCCCGTCTTTCTGCAGGTCCGGGGGCGGCGCAAGTTCTTGTGGGCGTTCGAGTCGGCTGCGGCGCCGCCGCTGCCGCCGTGCCCTGCCCCGGAGCCGGTCGTCGGCGGCGTGCCCTCCGAGTGCCCCCCGCGGCTCTTGGTGGCTCGAGCAGTGGCGAAGCGTCCTGGCTTGCCTATTAGGCCCACCAATGAATGTTCTAATAACCTCTTGTGGTCCTCACGACGTGTTCTCAGAACATGTCTGGCAAATAGGTTGTTTTGTTTAGGCACATCGGGCTTACGGTCTAAGACCATGGTTTTTGTTCTTAGAACGTTCTTGGGTTCTAAGAGCATTTCTTGGTAGGCCTGGAGGAATGCCGGGACGGTCGGTCCCTGCTCAAGCGGTAGGGGGAGGCCAGCCTCAGGATACAACCTCTTCTTCCCTGTCGGAGTGCGAAGAAGTTTGGACTACAACTGCCGGAGCAGCATCGCGGTCGCGCTCGTTCCCCTCTCGCTCTCGTGCCTCCATTCGCCCCCAGTGCACCCCACCGCTCGCCGACCGGCGCCCGACTGTCCTGGACACTTGGCGCCTGTGGGCCAAAACAATTACACCAGAGAAAAACCCCAATCAGTGCATTGTTTTCGCTGAGGAGATCGACTGGGAACCCGGGAGCCCGGGAACCCAGAACCCACCGAGACCGAAATCGGCCAGAACCAATAACCGAGAACCCGGGAACCCAGAACCTGGAACCCGGGAACCCAGCGTGCGACCAAAATCGGTGTCCTCGAAAATCACTTACCCGTTACGACAGTGACTCATCCTGAGCAGTCGCGATTCTGGCGTCTCCGAGCGG